GGAGATGGTTGGTGGTGTCATGTAGATGTGCAGTAAGGTTTTAAAATTTTGATTTTGCCCCGGGGGGTCAAATGGGGTTCGAAAAATGATGTTTTAAAAATGTCTTAAATCATTTCTTTAAAACTAAGCGAAATAAAAATTAAAAAGGATGGAGGTCAAGGTCACAGGAATGTGCAAGGTGAAGTTTTTGATGCAGTTGAGTAGCTTCACGAATACATATCAGCATATTATGTTTGATAAAAATATCTTGAATGATTTCATGAAACTGAGCTGAACACTTTTTCTAAAAAAAGAGAGGTCAAAGGAAAGGTTGGGGCCAAAATGTTGTTGCAGTTGAAAAGCTTACATCAGTATGAATTTACTATTAGCATATATGAAGTTTGATAAAACTATAATTAATGGTTTATTTAAAACTTAGATAAACACATATTTTAAAAAGTGAGGTCAAGCTCAAAGGAAAATTCAAGGTCAAAATAAGTTGATGTATTAATAGCTCTCAAGCAGTATGTATCAGCATGACAGCATATGGAGTTTGATAAATATATCTTGAATTGTTTATTCAAAACTGATCTAGACATTAATTTTAGAAAAATGAGGTCAAGGTCACAGGAAAGGTCAAGGTAAAAAAGAGTGAAGCATTGTAAAGCTTACATCAGTATGTATCATCATGTGAAGTTTCATTACACAACTTGAAGGGTTTCTTTAAAATAAAGCTAAACACTAATTTAAAGAAAAGTTAAGTGAAGGTCAAAGGAAAGGTCAAAGTCAAAAAATATTGCTGCAGTTGGATATTTACATCAGTATGCATCAACATATGAACTTTGATAAAAATATCTTGAAAGTTTCTTTGAGCCCAATGGAAAGACAGATGGAAGGGTGGAGGATGGACATGACAAAACTATACATGCATTCCTAATCATGGTGTGGCATAAAAAACTTGAATCTACATTATATGAGGATGTTTCCATCTATCAAGATTATACAAGCAAATTCAAAGAATTGTGGTCCTCTGCTTTCTGTGTTTTAGTGAATGGGATGCTATAATTTATGGCAGATTGTGTGTCAAATATGCACCCCTATCATATATCAATTTTTGAAAATTGGGTCAAAGGGGAAAAATCATAGCATGCTCTGAAACATTTTGTTGTACATGTCAAATATGAAAGTCCTATCTCTTTTGAATCAAAAGTTATATATACAATATAATATTTTTGAGAAGTAGGTTAAACTTCTAGGTCAAGGTCACAGAGTCAAAAGTCATGATATATTTAGAAAAGTCTTTTCACATGTAATAAACATGTATAATTTGAATGCCCTTTCTTTTCTCTTTCAAAATGATCAATTAAAAATGTTATTTTTTGGAAAGTAGGTAAAACTTTAAGGTCAAGGTTTCACTTGGGTTAAAAAATCATAGTATATTTAGAAAGTTTTGTGGTAATGCACATGTGAAATATGAAAGCACTATCTCTTATTATTCAAAAGTTATGACCAAGGTTAAATTTATTGTGACAGATGCACATACTGGCTGTCAATAAGATGGACAGACTGACAGACAAATGAGATTTAATGTCCCCTCCCTTTCCCCAAAATGGGGGACAATAATGCCCTTGCTGTTCTTGAGAAGAAGATTTATGATGGAAAAAATCCCCTGCATATTTCTTAACGCAAATCAATATTGTGTTTTTATGTCATTTTGTTTGTTGTTAAACATCCCTCTCAGGAATTTTTCACTCATATGGAGACACCACCACTTGGAAAAATAATGAGGACAAATTAGATTTGAGGTCAACATTCATTTTAGGAGTTTTCAACCATTAAGGCGTAAAGAAATATTAACTCGATCCTTCCCCTCACCCCTTCCCAGACCCCTGTTTGTTCATGTATGCAAACTACTACTTGTTTTTACATTAAAAAAAATGTTTATACAAATAGTTTAATGTGGTCCATCTCTGAATGATTTTCATTCCTAATTCTAGGAAGATAGGTTGACACAAATTCATGAATAAAATGTCAAGTAATCTTATCATTGATGCACTTTTATTTAATTTAATGCAGTCATATTGTGAACATTTCCAGCTCATTAGGAGAGTGGGGATGTCCTCTAGGGGTTCATAACATTTATACCATTAAATTTACATAACATAATAACACAAGTAACAAAATTATGTATAGTCAGATGGAAAAAGTTTCCTACTATTTAGGAGTCACATGATCATTTGTCATTACAGGGACAGGGAAGTGGATTGGGAGATCGCCCCCCCTCAACACCCCTCCCCTCCCCGGAATTTGCAGGACTATAATATATACTGGAGGAAATAAAAATGACTTGTCTTTAAATGCCCTAAGTGTCCCTCCACCCTAGAAAACAGACCCAACCATAACTTCTTTTTTTTTTTTTGCTTCTCAGGAAATTCTGGTCTGCCCCCCCCCCCCTTTCCCTCCCAGAAAAAAAAATTCTGGATCTTGTAACTGAATGTAACGTTGATAACGGGGGATAACTCTTCAGAATGTGAAATTCGTCTAATTGTAGCATCGGATGACCTTTGATCCTTTAAACTTGAACCTAACCGTTTGCATTTCAGACTGTTTTACCCAAATCTATACCAAAACTTGTACTTACCGATTGTCATTAATTAGGCCTTGTCATCTTCATGAAATATAATCCAGTTAAAACACAAAATGAAATAATTCCTACTGACATATATGCCTTAGTGCAATGATGCACACTAGTAGCCTACTGCACGTGCCTAAAATGATAATGCCAATGGTAAAACTAGTACTTAAGTTGGGAACGTGACGCAAGCCCAATGTGATGCAGGTGTTCAGATACATGTATAGTGCAAGAACAAATTGAAAATTATCATTTACAAAAGATGTTTTATTTTAACTTTGCCATCTAGGCCTATTTCCAAAAACAGGCAAATAAGGTGTGTTTGTGTGTGTGTGTTGATGGGAGAGGGGTGGGGGTTGACTAAATTGATTGTGTATATGGCAGCTTTCAAGAAGTTTCTACCTATCAAATATAAATAAACTTTGCACATTTTGAAAAATTCATCAAAAACGCTTTACACTAATTTGAATAATATTATTTTTTGTTAATCTATATTAGAAAATAGATTTAAAAAGTTCAAATTACCGTACAAGTAGAATTTTTAGCGAGGATTTAATTTTGGCATTATTAGCGAGGGTGCTGACATCGCTAAAATTGAATACCACTGAAAATTAATTGCTTATCATTTGTTAAAGCTTCTTGAATTAGCATTTTAAGAGTCATTCTCTGTAAAAACCAAAGAATCCAAGGAGGCCGTAAAAACGAATGTCTCCGAAATACGTAATTTTTTGTATTTAGAGTGTACTTAGGTGTCTAACTGAGAAAACCACCTTAGTTCATGTTTCGGGGTGTCCGTTGCCATGGCAACCGTAACTAACACAAATATGGCCATTTTGACAGGTTATATTTCATGAAATATAGCATTTTTAACCCCAATATTTCCTTTAAACACAAAAAACATGACCACTTTCAATTATATAATTTATTTTATGCATTCTTATGTAATTAAAATAATTAAGAATTTAATCTTTTGCCTGAGGCGTTTTAAGCTGATAGAAGGCTAAAAATATCAAATTTCATGATTTTTTCAAAATGCAGAAAAATCCATTTTACCCTCTATTTCAATTACATTTATCTTTAAATTCCAAGATAGGTTTTTTAAACTTCTTGTTTATTCCAAATATCTATACTATAGTCTTTCATTTCATATAGATTCCAAACATGTGTTTTTCAGATAACTCGGGAAATATCAAAATGAAAATAACCCATAATCCCGAATTTCCTCAGATATGGATTGGAAAACTGCGTTATACATTGTATATGGTATATTTTGTAGAGTTTGTTTTTTTCTCTTTTGAGGACATTGTTTATGTAAAACAACCTTAACAGAGAATTAAATGATAAAAAATGAATGAAAATGTATCATTTTAGGGGCGGATAGCAACATAGCAATGGTTAACAGGGCTCATGGGATTTTTTTTCATTTGAATTCATGTTTTTATCGGTTCAAAATCACTTTTGTGGCTAAATTTTAACAATACTGACGTGTATATTATTCATGCTAGTAATCAATTCTTTAAATGAAATGTAGATATATTTAAGATATAAAAGTAATACACAGATATTTCATTTTACCCCCCCCCCTTTTTTTAATGAGGAAAAGGCTGGGGATTAAAGACACCTGTTCTATGACTCAAACTTTATCTTCTTCAGCTACTAAACGTATCTGTTACAAATTTAGCAGAAAAAAAGAGTCGATGAAAAGTTAATTTATTAACTCTATCACAACGTAAGGCGCTAAGGTCAAGAGTTCAAAGTTAACTGAAGAATATATACATGTAGTATAATTGCTTCTCCACATTTTCAGGAATTGACTGAATGACCTTAAGTCAGGATTTCTGATTACAGAAACAGAATGCTATAAAGTACAACATGTTTAATCCAAAATGGTTTAAATGGACTAAATAAACAATTGATAACTGAAAATAAATCTGAAAATTAAAAGATTATTATTTATTATTATTTTTTCAAAAAAAATATAAAAGATTATGGTGTGCAGAGATAGTTCGTGCTTATTATTTTTTTTTAAATAACTTTTTCAATTATCAATTTATATTAAAGCTCAAACATTATTTCATATACTTGTAATTGATTGATACAAAATGAAGAATTTCAAAAATACATGTATGTATGTATACTGTTGAACACAAACCATTCACAGCAACATATCTAAATACACATGTAATTTGATTATTGAGCTAATAAAATTATAATACCAGCAGAATAAGGACAACAAAAGTAAAATAAGGCCATACATGTAAGTAGTAAGAGTTCCTGTCATTCATATTTTCAACTTGATTGCAGGCTCGTAAGAGGCAATTTCAGTTGGAAGGGAGGGGGGGGGGGGCACAACCATACATTCTCAGTGAAAACTACCAAAAATTTCTAGAAAGCAAAATAAGGACAAAAGATCATTAGACATATTTTCTGAGGGGGCACAAGTATAGAGTAGCTATGTTTATTATAGAATTCTATATATTGGCAAAATATTAGGGGGGGGGGGGGCAAATGTTGGTCATATTGTGAAAAATAATTATATATTTTCTATGATATACCCAAGAACGTTATCCTTAAGCCTTGAAAATAATAATAGACATTTTTGACATAGATTTCTTTAATTCTTTTGTCAATTTAATAAAAATTCAATAATTGTAACAAAGGATGGAATTATCATTTTACATGCAATGAGACCACTGTTTATACACTTTTTATCTTTTATTTAAGAATGTACATTATTAAATTTCTTTTTTTAAAATTATTTGAAGCATATTCATGGTAGTGCATAGTGGACCCATGTTATTATGCATGAATAACTTTAGGATAAGTGGTCAAAACTTCCTTCAGGTATAATACTATAGGCAAGACTAGGATTTTCTTCAGGTACTGTAAGACTTCACTATTTCTTTGATGTTCTTTGGTAGAATAACAGCAATGTTTGTCATTATATTGTTGTAGTATAATATAGCAGGCTTAGTGAAGGTGTCCCGACGGTATCTCCCATTCTCTGAAAACTCTCACTAATTTTCATCAGATACTCATTCATTTGCTGAATGTCATGACTGGTCATGACTAAATGTAAAACTCTGGCTTCTTGAGTTCTGTAATAGACAATACAAGTATTTAGATTTACCAGGTAGATAATACAAGACTTAAGTTAACCAGAAATCTCTGTCAAGACTGTAGCTCTACTGGTTTGTACTGATAATAAAGAAAGAGAAAACTAGCATTTGGGACATTTACAAAAGCAATCAATAGAATAATGACAAAAACAGATACACAGAATTATTTATCTTATTATGATTTACTTGTGTGCCAAGTTATATTGAAATCAGACCAAAACTGTAGGAGGAGTAGCATTTTGAAAAACTATTTACAGACGGACAGACATACAGACAGACAAACAGACGATTGACAGATTACTATCGCATAAGCTCTTCTGGTCTTTGACCAGTAGAGCTAAAAATGATTAAAGGAACCAATCGGATCATGATAACAGTTACACTTGTACATGTAATAGGTCATACATCCTCTCTACACCAGTGTAAAATGATTTTTGGACTTTGCGAAAATTATATTGAATAAAGATGTAAATAATAAGCTTCTCTATTTCATTTTCAATACATGATACATGGCATTTAACCCCAGGAAAAAAATGTTCAAACACAACACAGTATCAGTAGAAATAATTGATATTTACTTCTATGGAGAAGATACATGTAAACAACATGTTTATTGATTTAGAATTTAAACTATCTTGCCCTTTTAAAATGTTAAGAATACTTGATTTGATTATAAACAGAGTAATATAGTGTAAATGTATATTTATTGGCATTTAAATCTAAGGGCAGATAAATAGAACAGAATCGTAACTCTTTAGTGTTCGGTGTAGAGAGGTTTCTTAAGGAAAGTGGTAGAAACTCTCGTCAAAATTTTTGAAAATAACAACTTGGGTCATGTTTTAATGAATAAAATGAATAAGTTTTACAGTGTAGTTTTTTTTTTAATTTCTTATTCAAAGTTGCACAAAAAATGAATTTGAAGTAAAAAATATTTTTATAGAATAATTAGGATGATTTCAGATCGGTAGAAATTGGAACATCACAGAAAGTTTACATGCCTTGAAAAGTGGGTCAATAATAGTAGTTAATGTATATATGGAACATGAAAGCCGTATCCTCTATCCTTCAAAATTTATTACCAATGTCTTATTTCTAATGCTAATGGGTCAAAATTATAGTACATGGACACTATACCTCTTTATAATTTGGTTTTAATATGATGTTGAAGGCTCCATGAATGATCTAAATATCTTCCCCTTCCTTGTGATGCCCCTCACTTGGTCACACAGCAGCATGCTACAATAAATTGTATATTTTCATAAAAATAATTCAATTCCTTACAGGTACTAATTAAAGCATAATTATCTAAGAATGAGTTGTCAATTTTTTTTGCCATTCACCACATATTTAACGGTACTTTTTATTTAGTTTTGTATGTTGACAGGTCTAAAATAAATAACTGTGTACAATAATTCAAATTGGAGAAACTTTTTAATTAATATCTTGTTAATCTTTATTAATAAATGCATGCATCATTATAGAGTGTTCAAGATGAACAAGGAAAATGAAATTTACAAGGTCAAACCCAAAGATTATTTCTTATTCTACCCACATAGCTATTAATAGCTACAATGTACATGTATGTAGGTTAAGCTACCCAAAGTAGCTATATTACCCACTTCTAAGACCTACACATGTAGATAGAAATACTTTAGTATAGTCTTTGGACTGTACCTTTTTACATTCATTTCGATTTAATTCTTTTTCAATAATTTCATCTACTCATAACTCTACGAACAAATATTATTATATTGTGTATCAGAAATTGTAGTTACTTACGTGTAAATGCATGGTGTATAACACTGGTAGCGTTGCACCAGATTTACCAATCAAATGACCTGCTTTCACATTTTCATATGTTCTGTTCAGGTCCAGTACAATCAGTACATTTAGCTACGTAGATAGAATTACCTACGTAGCTTTATTTACCTACCTCAGGTAGCTTGATTTAGCTACCAAATGAATTTATTTCTATAAAAAAGCATTTTTCTCAGGATGTGCAAAAACTATCATCTTGATGCAGTGATCATTTTCAACTTTGATCTCATCTGAAAACAATTCATGAAAAATTCCCTCTTGAAGAAATGTCTTTTTCTGCGCAATTGCAATCAAAGTTCTGAAAGTTTTAAGGCTATGTATGACAGTTAGTTATTCCTTGAATGAAATGACAAAGAAGTCCAGTTCTGGTTAACATGATAATAGGTTGGTAATTATTCAACACAATGTGAATTAATCATACTCAGTCATGCCTCACCACACAGAAAGATAACCAAACAATGGAATTACATGTTTTGCTCTAAATTGACCAAACACAGCGATGTTTAAAGTATCTCTGCTTTGGAATGTTTTTTAAAGTCTCCCTAGTATAAATATCAATAGTCATTTAACTGCGATTTTTTGTCTCTTTTCCATAAAAAGAAAAGTTACATTGAAATAGCTAAATAAAGCTACCTGAGGTAGGTAAATAAAGCTACGTAGGTAATTCTACCTACGAAGCTAAATGTACTGATTGTACTGGACCTGCTGTTTGGAGGGGAATTCATGGTCCATCTCCTCTGGTGTTTTCAATATGCAGGTGTGAACTTAGAAGATTTGGAATTTGACAAAACTTTCTTCTTCACCTCTTTGTATTTTATTTTGAAGAAAAGTTAAAATAACGTCCACATTCGATAGTCATTCACTGTATTTACTAAATAATTTTGCAAATGTAACACAAGGCATACGACCTACTTTAGATAATACATGGCCATTGCTAAAACTCACGAGTTGTTGAATGTCTTCAGAATAAACAATATCACATCTGCCAAGGAAGCTATACTGTATAATCTAAGCAGTTTTGTATAAAAATATCAGTAAAACACATCGTTTGTGAAAAGGAACTCCAAACCGGCAAAACGTCATGCTTACAAATACTTTTGTTTTTACCTTCTTTCACTGTCGGTACTAGAGAGTTCTACAAAGGGAGATAATATTTTTGTGAAATGCTAGTTTTTTTAAAATTTTCAAATGCATTTTATTTTTTTAAAACAAAAAACACACATCCAGAATAATTATGAATAAATAATCAAGTATGCTTGCTTTCAAAATATTGTTAATATTTTATAAACCTATCTTGGGATTTTTTATAAAATGGCACTGAAAGTATGGTTATTTAGCGTGTTGGTTATGGGTTAAAAATAGGAGGAAATTAAATTTCTTTAACATGAAAAGGGGAGTTAGTGATGAAGCAAAATAATTTTTTATCTTTACTTCACACCTTGTTTTCACAATTTAATGCACTTAATCCAACCATAGTGCATTTCTTATTTAGAATTTTTTTTATGTCAAATTAGGAGAAAACTGACCTTTTCAAACATGGGGGTAGCCACAAAATGTGTTAGGGGGCCATAACCTGGAGGATAGGTCACATCCCAAAATTTTAACTATACCTAATTAATCTCATACACATTCATAATTTTTTCATATATGTTTTATTAAAATCTGTGATATTCGTTTGAACGGCATCTGTGGTCCTTACAGAGAATGACTCTTAAAATCGCTAAAATTACTTCTCGCTAAAAATAAAATACAAGATTTTAGGTAGAAATCGCTAAATTTGCGTTTCGCTAAAATTTCCACTTATACAGTATGTGCCAAAAATTTATACACCCCCCCCCCTTTCTCAAACCTAATTTACATCATTAATTTAATTCTGCTGTTTAATTTCCGACTGGTAATCGATTATGAATATGAAATACCAATAAGATGGAGTCCCATGGGTCACATGGTCACTAGCTGCAGATCTGTAGCGTTATGGTTTTATATACATGTATTAGTCTTTGACCATAAAGCTACAGTTCCCTTTAATGCAAAAAAAAGGTGAAATTTACGGCGCAATATGTTTTGCGCACTTCTGGGGAGAATTTTTCCACTTTCCAGCATCGGTTAATTTACTACCTTTCACTCCCTAATTCTAGGCACATTGTTTAACTAATCTGTATATTTTATCCATCTCCAATCCTTTTCTAGTCGTCTCTACACGTGATAAACTCGCTTGATTAAAATTATTTGTTAGATTGCTGAAAATTCACATCAAGCGAGTTTTTTGCCTGTAGAGATGACTATAAATCATTAAATAGCTGGGAGGTGGACAAAATATACATATTGGCTACAGAATGTGTCTAAAATTAGGGAGTGAATTAGGTAATTAATTGACCAATGCTAGAAAGTGGAGAAAAACTGCCCAAGAGTGCGCAAAAAATATTGCGCCGTAAATTGCACCTTTTTTGCATATGGGGATCTGTAGCGTTATGGTCAAAGTCAAATATATAAAACCATAACGCTGCAGATCTGCAGCTACATGGTCACCTGAGCATATTATGCTCAATTTGATGAATACATGTATTATGTAAATTATTGAATTATATTGACTTTTCCCTTGGTAAAGCCCAATATGAAGAAGTGTGCATTTAGAGGCAAACACCTTAGTGCGGGTATTACTGTCTCATGACAGCATCTAGTTGAAATTTTTTATTCGTGGAGGCATTTCAATTTCTGGAGGAGTCTATAAAGCAATTTTTTTTCAAAAAATATCGAAAGTTTATGAGAGGAAGAAACTAGAATCAGGAATCCATTACATTAAATTTCTTCATGACAGCGTCCAAACCCACACTCCCAGAAGAGTAAAGGTGTTTTGGGGATAAAGAGTAAGTTATTTTTTTGTCACACCAACAATATTCGCCCGATCTGTCACACTTTGACTTGGTTCATTTCCTAAGCATTAAAAAACACCTTCAGAAAGAGGAAGCAAGTCCACGATATGATAGGATCTGCCATATTCCAGTATACGAAGGGCCATTCTCAAAAAAATGAGTTCTAAAACAATCAGAAATTGGATAAAAATGTTACAGAAGTTTATTTTAATTAAAAGAGAATATTTAGTTAAATCATAAAGACTAAATCATCGAAAAGCGTCTTTTGCTTCTTTCTAAGAAGCGAGGACATTATTTATTGAACAACCCTCGTAAGTCCAAGAAAACCAATGTTAATAAATTCTGCTCCACAGATTTTCAAGAGATATTTCATGAATGTTCAATGTGCATTTTTAAAATCAAAGGATCATGAAATTCACAATTTGGACCGAGTCCGATGTATGCTTGCTTTTGATAACTATAAGCATAGAGCTAGAATACTTTGCTTTAGAGTAAAACATGTTTATCGAGAAATCAAGGAGGAATTTTGCTATAAATCAATAACTAGTATTTCGAGAAGGATCTAACCTGTCCGTGGAAAGGTTTGTTATAATGCAAAAAAATGCAAAAAGATATTCTGAACAAAAGAATAAAAATCATAGAAAATAACCGATGCTTCACGTGTATATGTTCTTATAAATAATGTTTATATAAATAATCAGCTTTATAGATATGAAATACATGCACAAGTAACAATAATACAACGCTACTCCATGAATACAGTGGGTACTATTCGTTTATAATTATTCCTTTACAAAAAGCAATGTTCAAAAAAAAAATAATTTACATACAGTACAAATGATAGATTAATTGCAAAACGTTAAAAATTCGATTAATAATAATTATGCTTGCTCTGATTAAATATTATGATAAAATAATTTAAAAATGTTTTTCAGGAAGACGATTAAAAGCTTGACCATATTTCATTCATTCTCCAAAAAGTTTACGATTACGGCGAGCCTTCCAAAAAGTCAATTTTAATATCTACTGAAGTGTTTGACGTTTCGTCAATGCCCTCAACAGTAATCTTAGTTCCCCCAAAGTGGAATTTGGCCTTGACCTTCCTGTTGGTTCCCCCACTAGTATCTGGCATAGGAACGCTCAAGGAACCGATCTCCTTACACCCCTCTTCATCGATATACATTGGATCCCTGTGAGTACACGTGAAGACTCTGAATTCGACAGCAGTTTGATCTTCATAGACTGGGTTGTACGTTTTGTCTGTAGTTTCGTTAACATGAATTGTGTCTCCTTTTCTTACATGAATATCAAACTTGTCTTTGCAATAAACTTTTCCATTCTGAATAGTTCTCTTAGATTCAGGATGAGTGCCTTCAATGAAGGAGGTGTTGGTTCCAACACCATAGGTGTACTTCACTACTCTGGCGGAAATCATGTTCGGATCGAAACCAAATATAACGGCCCCTTTCAATACGGCCAAACCACAGTCTGGGGGAATCACAACTCTACAGGCTGGGAACGATTCTCTTATCCTCTTTTGTAGGAGGTCGCACTCAGAAAACCCACCAACCATAAGAATTACGTCGGTTCCTTGGGCTTTCTCTGATAGCAACATTTCCTCAACTTTTAGGACTATCTTGTCGATAACGTGATTAAAGAATTCTTCAAATTTTTTACGCTCGATGAAAATTTTATCTCTTCTCCAAGTCACATATTCCTCTAAGCCTTTAGTCTTTGTCAACGTATTAAGATCTCCATTCACTACATCCAGAAAAGAATGCGGTATATTCACATTAACTTTTTTGCGACTTGCTTTTTCTCTCTTCTTACTTTCAAAATTTCTAAACAACTCTATATAGTCTCCAGGATTCTGCATGCGGAAATCCTCAAAGACTGATTTGGAAACGATTTTCTCCAACATTTCTTTGAACTGGGCGTCTACATATATACCACCCCAATCACCACCCTGAGCGCGGTCAATTTCTTGTAGCTTTCCATCTTTTGTCACTTCTTGTATTGCCATGTCAATGGTACCACCTGAAATATTCAAAGTATTCTAACAATAATGTATAAGATACATGTAAATTTATGACACTACTCTTAATTTCTTACAAGTACAAGAATAAGCAAATAAAATTACACATAAGTAATCAAAGCTCACCTCGACTTTGTATTTTTAAAATTGTTCACATTCTGAAAAAATGTTTTTTTTTCTCTTTACTTTCATTGAGCAATGTTAAAGCCACAATATGTTTAATCTACATGAACTTTGATTGACAATTTGCAAGACTAATGATTTACCATGACAGAAAAGTCTGCTTACAGCATTGTGAATTCTAGATTTTTACCCACTGCTTTGTAACTGAACAATGTAATAAAAAACAATTGTTAGAATCGTTTTTGAAGATTTCTTTTTATAGATAATGTTTGATAGTGTTAAATTTCAAATATAAACTTTTGATTTTTAAAAATTCATAAACTATAACCTCGTTTGATCAAAAGTAAAGAAAATTGGAATTTTTTTATTTTACACAAACGATGATTTAATTATAAACATTGCTGCAGATACCAAGATTTTTAAATGGAAAATGGTACGTTATCACAGGCATCAGGGGGCTGTATCCCTTTAATTTTTTTTTAATCTAGGATCGACATACCTTTGTCCTATTTGGTAGTCTAATACGCACAACTTGGTATCGATAAACTAACCTTTTTGTCTCTACAAGTCGCTTTTAAATATATCGTTTTCGACTGATACATATACACAGATTTAAAAAGAAAAAAAAAATAAAGGGTATCCAGCCCCAAAAGGCCTGTGTACGTTATATGTTAAAAACCAGTCGATGATACAAAGGTCATCTCAACGAATGTCGTCTTTAAGCATGCAATCTCATACTTAACTAATAACCTAGAATATGGGAATGGACTTACTCAAAAGTTTTAAAACAAGTCACTCGTCCAGAAACAGGTCTGAAGCACGCTGGTCTGTAAAAGTTGGGATAAATGACCAGAGAGCTACAGTGCCATCTATAGAAAAAAAAACTATATTTATTGCGCATAAAAGTTGCTCGCGGTTCTTGATTAAATTCCCCAAACTCCTACCTCAACTGCAAAATAGTTTGATTAAAAAAATACTTTAGACTTCTATTAACTACTCTTGTAGTTGACATCTACAAGAATCTTATTAAATCGCGTTAGTCGGAATTATTTGCCACCCAAAATCATGCCTAAAGTTTGATGGTCTGAATTTAAGGCTCAGAAAGGCTAATAACAACACTTATAGTTTAGATAAGGAATGCCATTGACGGCTGCTTTTTTAATAAAAATGGAACTCGTCAATTTACTTACCTTGTCATTAGTCATCTACAAAATTATTTTGTGAAATAACATTCTGATTGTAAACACAAGTACTCTTGAGTTTGAGTTTGTGATTGACAATATCTATTTTGTTTTTGGAGACCAGGTCTTAAAACACACTATTGAAATCCTCATGGGTACCAAATGCGTCCCGGTATTAGCAGACCTATTTTTGTATTCATATGATGCAGAATTTGTGCAAAATCTTATGCATGGAAAGAAGAAAACATCTCTTGTGGCTTTCAACTCGACATTTAGATATATCGACGACGTATTGTTGATTAACAATGTCGATACGATATATCCTGGTGAGCTTGAGATAAAAGACACCACAGAGTCTAGAGCATCTGTTTTATATTTGGATATTTTACTTGAAAAAGACGTTAATGTTAAGTTAACAACCAAGCTCTATGATAAACGTGATGACTTTCTTTTTTTCCATTAACATCCCTTAAATACTTATGCAGCAATATACTTTCATCAACTGGCTGCATACGGAGATCATACATCTCAGGTAATTCGATACGCAAGAGCATGCTCTACGTATGAACAATTTCTAAAACGAGGTAAATTATTGACAAACAAATTGATGAAACAAGAACAACAGCAGTCTCGTTTAAAGTCATTATTTCGTAGGTTCTAGGGCCGATACAATGACCTTGTCAGCAAATACAATTTATCATTGAGTCAAATGCTAACTGACGTTTTTAATACTAATTGTAAGTCCATTATTTATACACTGAATTCACGACGGATTTTCCCGTCATTTCCCGACCAAGGCAAGGAGCATACGGCGGATGTGACCGGTTGGCAGGGGATGCTCACTCCTCCATGGTACCTGATCCCACCTCTTATGTTTTGGAGGTCTTGTGTTTCTGCTCCTGTTTTGTATAGTTTTTGGACTTTTGATCTTGAATACTCTTCGTTATCTCCATATGTTTTATTGTTGTGTGAAATAGTTCAATAAAATGTTATTAACACATGGCTAGTAATATTTTGAGATTTTGAGCACACGGTTTTCAATGAGTGGTACTAAAAATCTCCGGACTGTCTAGTTTGTTTTGTGAAAAGTTACAGTTCTGCAGCTATAATCACCCATGCAAGTTACTCGCTTGGGGAGAGATCTGCTTCGAAAACTTTAACCTGTACCAAAACATTAACTCCGTCAATACCTTATGAAAAATAGGCTGAAAATACAATAAAATGTAGCATCTGAAACCTAAATCATTATGTTAAAAATAAAACATACTACTCGTACATTCATGCATGCAGCTTGGCAGCTAGGTTCAAGTCATTAAAATACCTAAAAAGAATTCTGTACCATAAACTTTAACCTGGGACGAAATCACCGAAGGTACAGTTTTACATAACTAAGTCTTTGTCGAGGTGTACTTAAAATAAAAGTACCCGGTATTCATTTATCAGATTAAAAGACAGATGTACATGTGTACATACCTCCAGCGTCCAAAACAATGAACCTTCGACCAGGCTGCATTGCGCTCAGACAGTCTTCGCCTTTTTCTATAGGTAAACATTTACAATACATGGCTGCAGCCTCTGGTTCCAAGCAGATCATCAGGGAAGCTTTTGAAATACCAGCCTAAAATATAATGAAGTGCAGAACAAATTTATATAAATTTTAAATAAAGGGGGTGGTTTATAGATGTATACAAAAATTGTGCAATTTACGGCGGAAGATCTCGGATGGCTCGTACCTCGCACACTAACCTCGGACGTCAACGGTGATCTACCATCTTGCTGATTCAGTCATGTGATATTATATGAATTTCATTCAAATGTTATACAGTGTACTTTTGAATTCCGAGTTACTTTGTTGCACGCCCAACGCTGTGTTCTTGCGTTCAAAGACTAGTAACATATGGTTGTAATTAACATGAGGAATTACACAAATAAAGAAACCTTTTCAAAGAACTTTAGGCAGAGCGAAATATGAAATGAGTGACAAGGCAGTTTCCGGCGGAGAAATGTATTGACTTGATGCGTATTACTCCACCTATCATATCCGAGGTTTAAATGGAGCGTAGCGGAGTCAGCCGTGGATTGCCGATTGGTTAAGTGCAAGTGGAGCTTGCAGAGCGTACCCTCTGGTGAGATTGACATACGATGTCATGTGACGTCAGGGTCTAGACGTGCGGTTTGACGAGACCAATCTTAATTCTCACTAATAGTTGCACTGTCAACATATTAGTCATGTATTTACTTTAAATTTCAAATAGAAATCAGTAAAAGGAAGTACAACCAATTTAATTACCTTTTCAGCTGCTTCTTCCATGAACTGTTTGGCAGGTTCGTCCCAAATGGCAGGGACAGTTATGACCCAAATTATATCCCCCTCCTCAGAAATAGCCTTGTTTAAATCCCGCTTTTCAAAACTATCCAAAAAGTGGCCTCTTAGATACTTTATGGAGTGTGTAAAAACATCTATGGCCGAAATCTCCTTGTCTGTCATATCCTTTAGTTTGGTATTTCTGGTAATTTTCTGATTGGATTAATAACCAATTTTAAAAACAATTATACATGTACACATCATGAAACATTAATTTTGCAGAAAAGATGTAATATTGTAAAAAAAAAAAGTCTCATTTATATTTTTTGGATAAAATTAATTATTTTTTAGATAATCAAAAATTATATTGGAAAAAAAATAAAAATTGTGAGAATATATCCTACGGCTTTCCATAATAAAATACATTGACTTAAAAAAGAATAATCATGTAATACATGTGGAAAAGATCTAATTATGGATTGCAGATAGCCTTGGGGACTCTATTCATAAATTTACCAGTTGTCCTTCTTTGTCATACAACATCATTTTAAATCGACGAAAATAAAAATATTTTTTCTTTTCCTCTTCCGGCAATCTGCTATACAAGGTTTCAGCATCGTATCCAAAGCTGACAAAGTTTTGGTCTTTGTCGAGTAGCAGGGTGGTGGGTGTTTTCTCTGACATCAATGATCCGGAATTCCAGTGAACAGTATATATTTTTTCTATATCCTTTTCATTGTCTTTGAAGAATTCTGAACGCGTGGAAAAGGCGTATCCAGAGTATGTTGTTCCAAAGTCTATGGCCACAACGTAAAGAGCATTTTTGGAAGCAGACATCTGGAAGAAAAAGTTTGAAATTGATATACATGTAGCTTAAAAAGTTGAAGTAAACTTAAGAAATACGCTTGTAAAAATATTCTAACGTTTGGTTTTTCTTAAATGTAGTTAACAAGAAATTTGGAGATCTCAAACATTGAAATTTATGTCTGAAAAAAAAACTGAACTAAACAAAAGAGGGCGAGGCAAATACTATCCGGAGAGAGTGGGACTGAAAATGGTCATTTAAAAAGGTGTTTGACCCCCCCCCCACCCCCGCCCTCCCCGATGCATCTATTCTTACTATCATTCCAATGTTAATGTATTTAGTTAGTAACTTGAAACTGACTGGTGCAATTACAATTTTGCAAATGATTATTGTGTACTGTCGTCTCTGGATCAAATTGCATCATTGTGGGGGGGGGGGGGGACAGAACAGCATTTCAATGAACATTTTCAATAGCAAAAAGTTATGTATGGAAAGTCATGTTTAGGAATGATCGATACTTCAGCATATTGCCCATGGCGGTAGGAACCGGCGGGGGGAGGGGGGGGGGGCACGAGGGCCATGTCCCCTAATATTTTGCCGATTCTTAGAAAAATGTTATTTCAAAGAGCTGTAGAGTGTATTTTTTCTTCCGAATCAATGCATTTCTTTGCCGATAGACTTTTCTCTCTCACAAGCTAAAGAATATATCCCCTTTCTTGGTTAAAAGAAATGTCAGGGAATGACAGGGGAAAGTCAGAATAGACATAGGGCGACAGGGACTGGACAGGTAGGTCAGAAAATGTCAGGGGACAACAGGGAGTAGACAGGATACACAGGGACAACGACGAGGAGGTCAGGGTACGACATGCAGGGGGAAATCAGTGCAAACAGGGACAACGAGAAGGGACGACATGCAGGGAGTGGACAGGGTAGTCAGGAACAACGGCAGGGAATAATAGGAGAAAGTCAGGGAGTGGCAGGAAAATGTCAGGGACTGACAGGGGGACAACATATTGGATTTTTTGGAATAAGAGCGGATAATCAATTCAGTAGTGTGTGCCCCCTCAATAAAAACGTCCCCAAAACCATTCCAAAGTTATTGCCAATTGAAGTTTTATATTTATAAAGAGTAAGTCAAACTACAAGGTGAAAGGGTCAAAGTTGTTGGCATCCCATGAAAGATCTTGTCACACCGTCACGGATTAAATATGTAAAAGTATGAAAGCCTTAGCTCTTACCGTTTGAAAGTTATGGCAAAGGTTCAATTTTTTTTGAAGTGGGTCAATCTCTAAGGCCAAAGTCAAAGTTTCTGGTATCAAGTGGAAGGTCTTTTCACAAAGTATACATAATGTGAAGTATGAAAATCCTGGCACCAACCGTTCAAAAGTTATGGCTAAAGTAAATTAAAATTTGGAAAAGTGTGTCAAACTACAAGGTCAAGGTCAAAAGGTCAAATTTGGTGGTACCCAAAGAAAGTTCTTGCCACAAGGAATATACCGGTACCTATGAAATATGAAAGTCATAGTACCACTCAGTTAAAAGTCAATATACAGTGTAGGTAAGGTTAAAGTTAATAGGGCAAGGTAAGAGTTCTCCGACCCATCACACAAGTTCGACGTCAGACATAAGCAACAAGGGCGGATTCAGGGGGGTTTGGGGGGGTTCGGGAAAACCCCCCCGCTCATTGAATTTTTTTTTTTTTTTTACAAGTGTCATTTTATCATTTTGTTGCATTGATAAGACTCTAATATACACGAATCCATTGTTCTGTACAACTGTGAAATATACTTCAGGCACGTAACAGGAAATCACTTTCCACTTGAACGCACACAATACACAGGTAATCAACAGAGAGAGGGGTAATCCGTGAATCTAGTGAAGTCACAAGATCATCGTGCAGTACAATGTAGTCAAGTATCAACAACAGAAAACTGCATAGTTACGGTGCTGCTCAGTAATATTCCTTTGCTGATAAAATGCATGTTTTTTTATTAACTATTTGAATAAACTATTATATAGGGTTTTTTATTTACCATTTTAAAAATTAAAAGAATACATTTTTTACATCATATTGACAGTATACTCAAGTAAATTGAAAAGCACTAATTAGGAATTCTGAAAAGAATCCAATGTTTGATTTTTTGAAAGTGTTTAAAATTGCACATCAGTTGTATCTTAGAAGTCAGCTTGACTAAATTAATTGAAAATGCATTTAAAAGGCAACTTGAAGTCAACTGCTTGTGTTCCTAAAATTGTCAGATGTAACAATTTTTTAAAGCAAAGTCTAAAGTCTTGTGTTAAAGTTAAATTACATGTAATTTGAAACATTTTATTTATCTAAATTCTTAAATATTTGTGATGATTGGTCCTTAAAAAAGCTACAAAAAGTACAAGAAATGCTGGAAAATGCACCATTTTAGAACTATTTAAAACAATTTTTTTCGGGGGGGGGGGAGCCCCCTCAATCCATTTTTTTAAACAAGGTCTAAAGTCTTGTGTTAAAGTTAAATCAAATTGAAACATTTTTTTTCTGGATTCTTAAAAATTTGTGATGATTGGTCTTAAAAAATGCTACAAAACGTACCAAAAAATTCTGGAAAATGCACCATTTAGAACCATTCAAAACAAAATTTTCCCCCACCTATGGGAGGGGGACACCCCCTCCCATGCCCTCCCCCTTCGGCCCTTTGGGCCTCAAAACCCCCCCACATGAACTTCTGGATCCGCCACTGAGCAAGAAACAATTTTTGGGTAATAAAACAGTTAATTGTTATGAAATGTATGCATTAAAATGATTTAGAAGCCTTTTCTAATAGACTTTTTTTAGAATCCAATATATCGCATATCGCTTTAAAAAATATTGTATCGTATCGTATTGAAAATTTTGGCTCAATACACAGCCCTACTGCCCCCCTTTTTCCCAACATTACTATTGAAAATGTTCATTGAAAGGTAAAATCTCTGCCGCCCCCCCCCCATTCACTTTCAAAAACGATGCTACGTCACTGAGACAAGAGGTGCAGGCAGTTAGACGGACAGGTCAAAAACTATACACCCCCGTAATCGAATCGAGACATCATTTTTGGGGGGCAAAAAAGCTTTCAAATAATTATGATTTCAGGAACTTACCTTTACACATAGGTATGAAACCGAAAGTCAGTCCGTTTAGAAACTACTGGAAGCTGCAATATGTAAGCTGAATTAGAATAAGTATTTTTTTTATGTCAAAATGGAAGAAATAAACAACCAATACATTTAGGTGTTTTCTTGAAATGTACCCGTGAGTTCTCAAGTTCAAGTGTTTACACCGTGCTAAAATTTACAGGTATTTTTAGATTCGGTGTTTTCCAGAGTGTCGTGACCAAAAGCCTGACACCCGGGCGTCTAAACGAACGTGACTTTATCTGTATAATCTCCACATGCCTTATAAAACATCCGGTTTAAAATAATTTCTTTCATTTTTTCATCATAAATATATTTTTTACTTACTTTGAATCATGTGACAACCTTCATTCACGTGATTTCTTAAAATAGAAATTCGGAAAACTAAAACGAAAGTAGAATCAGCCCTTTTCGACGAATCTTAGTATCCTAATATTTAATAGTGTGAATTCGGGTTTTTCCTGATAAAAATGATAGTAGATATAAGTGGGTTATCGTTATTATGAGTGGAGGGTACATCATGAACCAGCTCCGGGAGGAGCTGAGCTCCCGCTGTGTGATTGTGTTGGGCTTCCCTCCAGCGACACTACCCGAGAATGTCTGTGGTTTATTTCATTGTCTACGGGCTGAGCAAGCAGGCGGGGGACCAGCATGGCTTGTACTGTTTCAGGATTCACAAAGTAAGTTACCAATATACTGGCTTACGTTTTTCTTTACACTTAAAGTAAGGCCAAAAGAAAATACATACTCTTGTTTCCTGTCCCCTGACCAAAAAAATTAGGTTCGGTAGGTAGGGAAAAAAATTTATTTTGAGAAAAAATTTTATTTTCAAAACTCAATGAATGCAGAACATATAGCATGTAATAACAAGAAAATGATATGTTAACAGTTTACAAAGCAAGTTTGTTAATCAAGTGTAGCAGGTCTGGTGTTCATATATAGCCTGTACTTCGCGTTGTGTTTATTTTTTGTTTTGAGACGACTTTCTGAATATAAGACCTCTACATTAGATTATACCTTGGACATATTTGTAAATTGTAATGAACTATAAAAGAAAATAAGATTAACAAGACTTTACAATTTATTACCAATCTTACAGTACGTTATAATAGTACACAATATGAAGACCTTAATTCCCAAACCCAAATATGGCCTAACTTAACCCAAATATAGTCTAACCTAAGTAGTAATAAAATTAAATTAAGACAGACGAACAAGGGACGATTCCAGTATATGAAGAGTTTAGCTAGCGAAGCCAGCTGTCTCCCTCCCCGATCTAATAGTTGCATAGCTTTATATATGAAAAAGGAACAAAAGAAACTGTCAAAAACCTTATTGGCCGAAAGATAAAAGTGGGCGTTTCCAAATAAAACGTGGACAATTTACATCGGGATCGAAATGTAATAATTATGAAAACGTAAATAAACCTAATCTGTCACACAAGATTTATAAAGTAAAGGCCGGTATCCTGTACACTTGTGATGTATTAATATTCTGTAAATATCGTTGGTCGACTTCAGTATTTTAGAAAAATAATTACCCAAAAAATGAAAATGTAATAAAAACTTTTAGGGTCAAAGGGTAAAATGTAGGGTAGGTCGGGTGACAGGAAACAAGAGTATATATTTTTTATTTTGGCCTAACAAAACACATTGACGCTTACAACAAAATGACTTTCATTCCCTGTTACTTCAAAATGTATCATGTATGTAATGAATTATAAATGCTTATAACAGTATAACCACGGGTGCTTGAGGACAGAATCCCCCTCCCCCGGGCCTTTTTGACTTTTTGCAAACACATTTTTGATGTGATATCTATGGCACGCCAAATTCACAAAAATGAGCTTTACAATTGATAAACTAGGTTTATTGACTGTAAATTATAGTTTACAAACCGTGAACTATGGCACGCCAAATTCACAAAAATGAGCTAAACCTAGTTTCACAATTGATAAACCAGGTTTATCGACTGTAAATTATAGTTTACAAACCGTGAACTATGGCACGCCAAATTCACAAAAATGAGCTAGACCTAGTTTCACAATTGATAAACTCGGTTTATCGACTGTAAATTATAGTTTACAAACTGTAAACTATAGTTAACGATTCGTTAAGTATAGTGTTCATCTGTAAAACTATATTTTACGGTTGTTAACTATAGTTTACGGATGCTAATCTAAGTTTATCTGTCTGTAATAAGCGTTAACAATAGATTTTGTTGATATTAAACATAGATTCACGTTTGTAAACTATAGGTAAGAGTTGTTAATCATTGTTTCACAAATCGTGAAACTATATTAATCAGATCGTTAACTATAGTTAACGGTTTATAAACTATAGTTTACAAATCGTGAAACTGTATTTATCAGGTAATCTATGTTTTGTAATCGCAAATGATTGTTTTCAGTGTTAAGTATAGTTCTACGGTTGTGAAACATAGATGGTATCGCGTTAACTATGGTTTACAGATGTGAAATATAGATTAACGTTGTCAGTTTATAGTACGTTAACTGTAGTTTACAACTGATAAACTTAGTTTATCGACTGTGAAACTATGTTTTGCTCATTTTTGTGAATTTGGCGTGCCATAGATATTATATAATTTAGTCATTCAATTCAGAAAATATGTTAAACAAACATTTTATGAAAATTCTACCCCCTCCTCTCTCTCTCTATCTCTCATTTATATAAATTATATATAGAATATAGGGTAGATTTTAAAATACATAAATTTTGTTTTAGGTAATTTTTTCTAATTGTTGGTATAGATTTTATTGCAAATATGTCATTCAAAGATAATATATGAGAAAAAAGTCGACAAGGTCCAGGGGTATATACTGTAAAAGCACAAATATTCGTGGGGGTTTAAATTTCGTTAATTTCGTTGTTTACAATTATCAACGAAATTAAATCCCACACGAAATTTTATATGACTATATATTGAATAGGGTTACTTTCAAAACAACGAAATTAAATCCCCATGAAAGTATTCTAGATGATAAAACAACGAAATTTTATCCCCACAAAAATTTGTGCTTCTACAGTATACATGTATATCAAAGGAGGGGGGGGGTTTCCTGTCCTCAAGCACCTGTGGTCTGTGGCATTAAAACAGATTGTATTTGTGACCTAATTGCTTATGCTTTTCATTCAGATGTGAAAAATAGATAAAAATCGTTTTCAGAAAAAGGTTGGAGGATGTTGCAGATCGATATATTTGTTAAGCCATACAGTCCAGCCATACATTTTCTCCTATTTTTTAAAATTAATAGATGTATACAGTTCAAAATTTCCATATTACTTCACATAGATATGTATTTAAGTGTAATCTTACCAGAAAGTGAATTAATTGAATTGATTTTGAAGGACAATTAATATAAATACTGTGTGTGCTTTTCTTGTCTCAAAAGTTTTATTTCTTTTTTTAATTTTAGTCGCAAACCAGTGGGTTACAAATTGCAGCAATTATAGAGTTGCAAACCTGACTTTACACATAACTCCTTCCTCGGGTTCTAACATTCCTGATGCTTGGCTTCAGGTAAGATTAGTCAAAAAATGGGGTAGACACACCTAATTATTAAATCCCTTTACTGAATATTTACTTTATTCAATAAATGTATTTAACTGTCATACGTGTATAATTTTGAGCTAAAATACATTTATTTTTATCTCAAGTAAAAGCTGGGTTAAAGCCGTTTGGTCCGATTCTAATCGCTAAAAAAATATATTCGTTTTTCTTCTTGAAAAATAATTGTCCATAAATTATTTCAACTTTTGTCAAATTACATCCCCAAAGTCTTTTTCTTTTTAAAGATATCAAAATTCAAAAGTTAAAAAAATAATTTTTGTTAGGTCACACAAAAAATAATCCTTTGTTTACGTTGCGTGAAATCACCTTCGTAAATTAAATTTATCGCTTACATGTATAACTCATGAAGAACAAACCCGAGCATTTTTTCCACAACAAAGTGTACACGAACTCCCTTATTAAAAAATCTATAAAAATATCTGATTTTCCTTTATTCTGTAAATATGCATATTAATATAAAAATTACTATGGATTATATTCAGTTAATTTCTTAATTTTTAAAAGATATATCATGACTTAGGATTCTATTAATGGAAAAAAAATACTCAGGTTTGAATTCTCTTCATAATTAGATATAACCGATAAAAGTATTTTTTTCAAAGGTTACTTCAAAACAAATCTTAACTTCCCGTCAGGAACTGCTGCTTGTCAACAAGGTTTTTGGTCTATGTTTTCCATGTAAGGATTGTTGTAATAAACTCTTAAATCAATCTTATAATTAATTTTTATATATTATCTATGTAATGACATACTTTTATTGTTTAAGATAATATGTGCCTGTTTCGGATGAAGCGGCTTTAATTATGTTTTCGATGTAATGGTGTACGAGGGGTGTTAGAAAAGTTCGCGGACAAGTTCTATTGTGAGCGCGCTATTTCAACGAAACCGGTCAAATTTTCCAGATAAAATATTTACCATTTTTCCAATAAATATACATGAATTTGGTACTCTCAGGTGATTATTGAAAAATATACAGCTTTTTTATTTTGGTAAGAATTGCTTCACGGAGCATGCTACATTTTGGCAAGTTTACATCACAAAGACTCTTTATTAAAATTAAAAATTGCACAATTGTAGCGCAAAGAGATTTATGATATTTTACCTGCCGCTAAAGTATTCATGAAAAGTCACTGGGAGAAATTTTGAACTTAATTGGAGGGTATATGACTGTTTTATAGCCGTTCATAAATGATCAACGCGTAAAAACACAGTTAAAAATTGGAACTTCATTGAGCGTCATGGAGCACTGCACTACGTAAAAATTGTGTATGCAGACTGGAAAATGTCTAAAAAGAGAATAAAATGTTCAAGATGCTGCCGGGAATTTCCTATACCTACAAAGGACAAGTTTTCAAACGGTTGTAGCTTCAAAAGAATGGAAGGATTAACATTTTGAATGATTAACTCCATCGATACTTCAATACCCCCGTATCGCATGGACGTTGTGTTGCGCCTATATGGTTTTGCATAGTTTCCATACCTGAGCAATTAACTGCATAGACTTTTTTTTAAGATCTCAATAATATCCGAATCAGTACAAAAGACATTCTAGAAGAAAAGTAACATGTCTTGATATAGACATTTAATTTTAAAGTAGAAAAAAGATAAGAAATATCTGAAGAAATGAAAGATTTAAACTGCGACAAAACTCAAAGGGTTGAAATCTGGTTGTCACGTCGCCTTACGTCAAGTGATTGCTCTGTGAATCCCATGACCTCATAGTAAAAATCGTTGTAAATTTTCAAGATTTTATAATATGGACTTGATTTTTTGCATACCAATAAACAAAATGTAGGAATTTATTCAGACATAGGTCATACTTCACAGTACACAACAGATTTTCCGTAATTCAATGTGTACGCGAACTTTTCTAACGACCCTCGTATGTCATTGTGAAGAGCTAAATAATTATGAGAACTTAAAATGAATGGCATTCCAATTTGTAAAGAATCTTAAAAAAGATGGAAATATACTGGTATTTAGATTATTATTGGCTATTATCCAGTGTAGTGCAGATCCTTATAAAACTAAAATATATTAAAGAGTGTGGTATTTTTCAAATAAAAGGACATATACTTAGGCAGATTATGCATGCACTTTAAAGTAGTTTTGATAACTTACTCATATTGATTTTTTTCCTCAATATACAATGTCTGACTTGTCTGTATATATACACAAGAAGAGAGAGAGAGAGAGAGAGAGAGAGAGAGAGAGAGAGAGAGATTCTTGCTCTTTAAGCTTATCAGGTACAGGTACTGTTGGTTTCAGTTTCTTTTTCTTGTTAATACTTTAAAAGAGGTAAATAATTGTATACCTTGTACCTATTCTACTCTTTGTTCACCTACATGTATATAATATCAGATAGTGTTTAGATAGTGTTTAAACTTCCTCATAATATCTTTGAAAGATTTTTTTAAATCAACTGATAATTTTGTTGGGTATGCAAACATTAGTATGAAATATTACAGGTGAAAAAGAATGCCTGAATATTTTGTTGACTTTAAACAGTATCAAGTTTTTTTTTTTAAGGTTGTCATGTCTATGTTCACGTAGTCGCAAACAAAATTTTGCTTATACCCTACATATTTTGCAAAAGAATTTGCATTTTTTAGATTAAAATGTACGTATATTCGTTTTGGAGCACCAAAGTAAAAGGCTCAAGTGAGTTTCTATGATCAAAATTTGTCCATTTGTCCATTGATATTAATGTCATCATTGTTCTTGTAAATTTTTTACAAAATTTAACTTCTTCTCCAGAATCTCTGGCTATGTACTACATGTATATGATCTCTATACTATGGAAACTGAAAAAAAAAATTAAATAAAAATTAAATTAAGTAAATATTAAAAGTGCTGAAAAAAATGATTGGGTAGAGGCAATTTTGATTGGTCGGTCGGTGTACATCAAACAAAGCATTTTTTATTGTTGGCCTGATCTTGTCAGAGGAGTAATTGTCCTCAATCACAAAACAAACATTTCAGCTATGTTTAAGTTTTACATGTACATGTATAAAAGCAGTCTTTCTCTCTTGTTATATACAAATCCAAGACTTTCACGATCTTAGAATATTGCTATAATGATTTTTGTAGGCTGATCAACATGGATCAGCTACAGGCCAGATGCCAGGATATCCTTCAAGTTTCCCTGGATATCCAGGTTACCAGGGATATCCCAGTCACGGTCCGCCAGTATCCATGCCTTCAATTCCACAGAGCGACCAGATGCATTCCAATCCGTACAACCAGCACATGCCTGTATCCAGTCCACCATTTCAGTATCCATCTGGGGGTCCAACGATAACAAGCCCTGGTGGTGGCTTGCCACACAAAATTCCCCCCGGAAGTGAGCCACAGGTTATAACCTCTGACCCCAAGTCTTCTAAGTCATCTATGGTTCCTACCGTGTATCAGAATTACCCCAGCATGCCCATGCCTGAGCCAGGAGCTATGGCCCCACCCTCTTACGAGAGCCATAATTTCCCTCCTAAATTGCCACCCAAGCCGTCAACCATGAAATCTTCTCATCCTATCCAAGGAGGGTACAGCAAAGAGGAACAATCAAGTATTCTCCGGGGATCAGATATAGAGCCTGAGAGGGCATCTGTACAAGGTATGATCAATATAGTAAAACGACATGTCAATGAATTATTTTAACACTTCATACTTATCATAAATCATTTCAAAACATTCAAATTGGCATAGTACAATGTTTGGCCTTTTTCAGATGACAATTTGTTGGTTTCTGTATTTGTGTTGTACCGGTAAATACTATGTACAGGGTTATTTTCACACCATGTTATTTTCACCCCTTCACAGCTTGCAAACAAAATTTTTTTTCCCATTTAAAATTAAAACAGTCACAATTCTCTTTTAAGAATTTTTTTTGTTTTTTTTAATGTCCCAATGGCATTTAAATTTGCCATTTCCCCTTGGTACTCGAGTAGATGGAAAAGGGCAAAAATAAAATGGGGGCTACAATTTCCCTCTATGATTTGAAGTTGGAGGAGTACCACCATGCAGTAGTAGAAAAATATGGCAGACAAAAATAACTTCCTTTTATGAATCATATTCAGCTTTTATCTTATGAAAAGCACTCTAAATTGTAGACTAAGAAAATAAGGAGTAACATACTATAAAAAGAGAAATTAATAATATGGATCAAAATAGAATTACGGTAAATAGAGGTTGAATTTGCTATAAAATTTACAATATACTTGTATAACTACATGTACATGGATGTTGCAAGATATATATACTGCTCTGAAGTAATTTATCCTACAAAATAATTTTTAAAATTCATTTTTATTAATTTTGCAGAAACAACACCTCCTGTCTGTGACAGTATCAAAGTATTAAAACTACCAAGGGATATAACTGATGAATTCATTTCCGATTTCTTTGAAAACGAGAAAAGAAGTAGCGGAGGATATGTGGCTAAAGTTGACTATGATAAAAAGAATAATACAGCTATCATCACCTTTGAGGATCCTAATGGTAAATTTCTTCTGTAATGTTATAAAATGTCTTAAATTAACCTCTTTCAGAAAGAATTATATGTTTATGATAAATTCCTGTAAGTACCAGGGGTAATATGCCAGGAATTGTACCTGTATATTTATTAAAGAACTGAAGACTATAGAAAAAGTAGGCCTATTCTATATACATATAGGGTGCTGTGCTATTTTTTTTAAAAACAAAATTATAATTCAAGATTATTTGTTGAAACAGTAATCACAAATCAGGCACCGCACCCACTCCTAAATCAAGCAACAAGTAAAAAAATGCTGTATAACTAAATTAAGGGATTTGTATCACTGAATTTATGAAGTTCTGGATTACTATATCAATAAAAAATGAAAGTTAAATTGATTTTTTTTTTACATTGCTGACCTGTTCATTAAATTTTGTTTCTATTCAGTGGTGAAAAGTGTCCTGAAAAGGCAGGAAAGTTCAGCACTAGTAATGAACAAACAGCCAATAGAAATTGAAGAGTATCATCTGCCAGCGGACAGTGAGGTTAAAGGTGAATCAGATGACCTTGAGGTCAGAGCAGTCAAGGTCACAAATCTTCCACCAAAAACAAGTGAGGATCAGATAGAACTGTTCTTCGAGAATTCCAGGAAAAGTGGAGGTGGAGAGGTGGAAAAAGTGGAGTTTGATGAGGATTCCAACAGTGCTGTTGTATGGTTTAAAGATGCTGATTGTAAGTTAAGAAAAAAAAAGGGGGGACTGGCATTGTCTTCCTCTCAGATATGTGTTCAACTTTTGGCAGCAAAATTAAATCTGCAATAGAACTACATGCATGATCTTCTGGCTTAGCAGCTAGGTAGGAAAAAATAGCATAAATATTTAATGCTTGAGTACCAAAACAAAGATTGTGACTCTAGTTATTGCTAAAAGCGGTGGTGATTAACCATAGTAAAACATATCAAGCACTTTGAAGACCCTCTGTTTGTTTTTTCCTTGAAATGCAGTAAGCAATTTTTTCCCCGATGTATGTTCTAAGAGCACATCTACATTTTTGTTTTGAATCTTTTTCACTGTATAATGAATATAACCATAACCATCTTGGATACAAGTTCTTGCAGCTTAAATAATCACTTGCAGGTTAATGATTCGACTTTTAATGTATTTTTGCCTCATTTGAATTAATTAGCTTGTGACAAGGGCAAAAAGAGCAAAAATAAAGCAGAGGCTAAAATTTCCCTGTATGAGTTTTCAAATGTCAAAATTCTTCTCAAGAAATGATTGATTGATTGTATGTTGTTTCAAGTCCCTCTTGAAAATTTTTCACTCATATGGAGATGCCATCACTTGCTGGTGGAGAGCTGCAAATCTTGTCATATACTCGGCACTCAAGGCCATTTAGCAGTGAAGGATCTTTTTTGTGCCAGCATCTACTGTGACACAGGACTTCGGTTTTTATGGTCTCATTTGAAGAACCGATCTCCAAGTCCCACAGAGAGATTTGAACCCACGACTTAAGATCATTTACTCCTTACATTGCAACTCTAGAGCAGACTCTCTAACCACTGCAACATGCAGAAACTCTCAAGAAATGAAAGTCAAATTTCAGCCATATTTCGTTTTTATCTGTGTTTCTATGCTACTGTTAGATGTTTTACAATATACTCTTTATAAAAACAAAGGAAATAGGTTTTTATATAAAAAATTCCTTCAAATTCTTTTTAGTGGTGAAAAGTGTCTTGCAAAAGCAGGAAAGTTCAGCGCTACTGATAAACAAACAAGAGATAGAAGTTGAAGAATATCATCCACCAGCAGACAGTGAAAGTGAGGCTGAATCTGACCTTGAGGAGGAAGAGGTCACTGCAGTCAAGGTCATGAATCTACCCCCAAAAGCAACTGAAGAACAGATAGAATTGTTCTTTGAGAATCCTAGGAAAAGTGGAGGTGGAGAGGTGGAAAAAGTGGAGTTTGATAAGGATTCCAACAGTGCTGTTGTATGGTTTAAAGATCCTGAGAGTAGGTTTCATAAGGTTGTCAGTATTAACCATGGTTTGCAAATTCTCTACAGTAAAATTTTGTTCCTGAGAATTTGGCCTTTGGCTCAGGTGAGCTAAAATAATCCCCAGACCAAAGATTTTGACTGAGGACATTTGAATACATCATGAAAACTACATCATGTATCTATTATAGACTTTTAAGGACACATATTTAAGAAAAGCTTTAAACATGTATGTTTGTATTGGCACATCTTGCCATCATTTGGTGTGCCTTGTCAACAAAAACTTATTTGAATGTCAGCCATGTCCCAGAAATCTTATAAGGTTTAGAGATTCATCATCTTCACATTGAAGAGCAACAGTAAAGTAGACAACTATTAGTCATCTGTGTGTCTGTAATGAGGAGTCATACTTTCACATACCTATACAAACCAGATTCACACACCTTTTCTTTTGAAAGCCAATTTACATTTAGATTGATTGATAAAATTATTGTTTTTGCAGTTGTAGCAAGTGTTCTACAAAAACATCAGAGCTCACCACTGATTATAAACAAGCAGCAGATAGGGGTGGAGGAATATCGTCCCCCTCAGAATGACAATGATATCAGCTCAGAGGAGGAGGTCCAGGAGGGAGGGGCAATAAAGGTCACTAGGCTCCCTCCAGGGACCTCAGAGGAACAAATAAGTCTCTTCTTTGAAAATCATAGGAAGAGTGGAGGAGGAGAAGTGGAAAAAGTGGAGTATGATGAAGATTCAAATTGTGCTGTTGTGTGGTTCAAAGATGCTGATGGTATGTATCGGTTTCCAAAATTTGACTGAAAATTTTTCATTCATTTATTTAATCATGGTTTGTTGTGGTACATTGATCTTTTTTGTTCCTAGTTGTTTCAAGTGTTCTTCAAAAAGCTCCACTTCTTTTCAATAAAAAACAAATTGGTGTGGAACAAGTAAGAATGGATGGGAAGAAAGTGGAAAAAGAAGCTGAGGAGAACACTGGCCCTTTGTGTACCATCGAGGTTAGAGGTATGAAAGAAACAACATCCATAGATAGTGTAGAACTGTACTTTGACAACAAGAGGAAGTCAGGAGGTGGAGGTGTGGATGAGGTCAAAGGTGAAGTGGAAGATGGAGTCCTTTATGTCACATTTGAAGATGAGGAAAGTAAGTGTTAACATATAAAAAGGAACTTCTGAATCATATTTTCAATGCTCAGAGGTGTCTGCTTTCAAATTTTTTTTATTACCTGCTTGTAAAGTTTACACTATTGGTTGTAAATTTTGAATGGTTGATGCTAAGACTTTCTCATTTCATACGTTTTTACCTTGTGACAAGATCTTACTTTGGTTATCAAAAGTTGGAACCCATAATGTTAACCTACTTTTGAAAAAAAGCTGACATATGGGGTCTTTCGTCTTTCATGAACACATTTTGCTATGCTACAAAAATAATTAATATTTCCACTTTTATTTCAAAGCTGTTGACAGAGTTCTCCAGCGAGAGCATAGGGTAGATGGAGCCACTTTACAAGTGAAACTTTACCAGCCACCTAAACCTGTACCGATGTACCAAGACAGAGTACTGATTAAAGGTTTCAATCCAGAAACTTCAAAAGATGGGATTATCAACTTCTTGGAGGCCAAATCTGGGGAAGATGTCAAGGATGTGGTTTATGGTCAAGAAGAGGGAACAGCTATGGTTATTTTTGAGGAATTGAAAGGTAAAGACCTAATCCTGCTTCTCCATAATCCTTTTCCAAAGTACTTCTTCTTTACGGGTTTTCAACTATAACAGTAATTATAAATAATACACATGGGCATACCAGTGTTTTTAGAAATTGCACTCTTTTTTTGTGCATTATTAAGAGCATAATACACTAAAGGATCGATGGATAAGAAGTTTTTCAACTTTTTTCAAACATATATACCTTTACAAGGCTGAAAAATATAAATAGGCATCTTTGCTGGTTAATATATTAGAGCCATAACCCCCCAAAAAATTATAATTAAATCTTGATGAATAAATTCACTTAATTTTAAAGTAAAATGCTTTTAATCATCATGATCATTTACAGATTTTGAAAAACTTGAGGCAGCATGCCAAAAGAAACCCTTAGAAAAATGCTACCTAGCAGTGAGAAGAGTCCCTATCTCTAACTGTGTTATTGTGTCTGGATTTGGAGAGAGCACATCAGTGGACACACTAGAATTCTACTTTGACAACGAGAAGCGGAGTGGAGGGGGTGGTGTCAAGGAGGCCAAGATCAACTCTGAAGATGGAACATGTCTTGTGTACTTTGAAGATCCTGCAGGTGAGAAAGTATTCCTAAAGATTCATCGTTCTTCAGCTCACTCGTGTAAAGGATGAGGTGACTTGCAGCCCCCCGTATATTGACAAAAAATTATATGTCTAAATTTTACTCAAATTTTTGTATGTAACTAATTACTGATATGTGCACCTTTATAGAACATAAAAGAAAATATTCGCACAAACCTGGCCGAATTTAGCTGTGAAAGGGTTTAAAAAATCAAAGATAATCCGTATTCTTTATAATTAAAATGTATCTGAACTATTGAAACTATTCAAAAGGCATCGTATTTATTCACTCATTTTGAAAACTACCATACCGTGGTAGATAAAATATAATTCATCGTGGAAAAAAGGGGTCCCATATAGCAGTTATGTCACCTAGCTCATCCTTTTGCTTGCTATTTTTTTCTGAACGATTAAAATGCACACGAGTTCATTATAACTTTGAATAAAATTGAAATTTTAAGAAGGAATACACTGTATGGGTCATTTTTCATAAGGAAGGTTATCTCTATTAACAAAGGTTCAGTAAACCTCAGATTCACAAAAGTTTCCTTATAACCAAGATTTCCCTATAAGCAAGTTCTTCATAAACAAATTTCACTGTATTTTTTCACTTCTTTTTCTCATCAGTCTGTGACAGGGTTTGCCAAAAAAGCCATAGGGTTGACAACAAAAAGCTGACTGTACACACTTACCATGAATGTCTAGGACAGCCATTTAACCCTGATGAAGGTCCAAAGTTCAAACCCCTGGAACCAGTTATTGTCAGGGATCTTGACCTAAGGAAAATGAAGTTTGTGTACACTTCTGATGAGTTCAAACAAGCTTTCAACAAGCAAGCAGAACTAACTCATGGAAGGATAAAATGGCCAAAGAAAGCAGCAACAGAGCTAACGGTAGAGTGCACTCTGACAAAGGATGTAAAAGACTGTCGAAAATTGGCTCAAAAATGGGAGAAACAAGTGGCAGACGGCATTAAGAAGTTGCTTGGGGTTTTGCATGTTGAACCTGTTAGTGTTTTACAAGAGGCCTGGGAGAAATTTTTGGAGGGAATAAAACAAGTGAATGTACCAGATCCCCAGAAAGTAGGCATTATTCTAGAGAAAGGCAATTACACCATAGTCATTGTAGGGTATGGAAATATGGTGGAAGGAGTCAAACAGGAAGTTGAGAAGATAATAAGTACAGTGGTTGATGAGATCCAGAGAAAGAAACAACAGGTTACAGAAACCATTCAGCTAAAGCATCATCAATTTCTTCTCCTTACTTTTGATCATTTCAAGGAAGAAACAGAGAAAAAATTCCCAGATATGCAAGTCAAAACATGCATGAAGGACAAAAGTTTCACCTTTGAAGGTCAATACTTAGAAGTCAGTCAAGCAAAAATAGCCCTGTTTGAAAAATGTCAGCAGATGTACCAAGCCTCTGCAGGAAAGTTCTCCAAAAACAGGCGAGATTTTTTGAACAGAAAGGATGTAAAATCTCGTATTGCAAAGCTGCTGAAAGACAAAGAAAACATGAGTTGTTTTGATTTTCAGAGGGAAGAGGTGATGTTGTATGCTTTCTCAGATGACAAAGCTGTTGAGGCAGCACATCTGATAAAAGACAGCATTGTGGAGTCCCCAATTGATGTACAGCCAGACTCAGCTTTCCTCCTAAACTCTGATGCCTGGGATAAGAAAGTCAGAGAGATAGCATCCATGGAAAATTTTGAGGGACTTCTTCAATTGATCACCCTAGCTGATCAAAAGAAAGTTATAATAGTAACGATGAATGAATATGTTGGCCTGGCTAGAGAATTCGTCGAGGACTTTCTCAGAGACAATACAATCATGAGTGATTCGATGGAGGTTCCTCCAAGTTATTTCAAATTTTTGGACCTCCATCATAAAGACAAATTTGATCAAATTTGTACAGGTTTGAAAGAGCAGCAAGTTCAGATAACTAAAAATAAGAACAGAATCACAATCAAGGGCACTAAGATGGGTTTGGAACAAGCCAAAGGAAGAATTGAGGAAATGTTGAAAAAGATTCATTCCAAAAAACACACACTTAAAAGACCAGGCATTGCCAAACACCTACAAAGCGATATTGGCAAAAGCAAGATTTCTAAGGCCCAAAAGTTTCACAAATGTTACATACAAATAGGTGACCAAGAACCCACAGATTTTTCTAGTTCTTGGACAACAGCTTCAGGTCTCAAAGGAAAACAATCCTCGAATGGTGACATTGCTGAACACAGAACTAAGGGAGGAGTTTCTATAAAGGTCCATTCTGGTGACCTGACCACTCTCCCTGTAGATGTCATTGTGAATGCTGCTAACCCTGACCTAAAGCATCATGGGGGACTAGCAGGGGTCATTGCCAAAAAAGGTGAGATTCATTTATATCTAGGAAATCCAGCTATAATGAATTGTATCATAAAGTTTTATTTCCTCATGTATGTAATATATTGGGATATTTTGAGGCTCAAGCAAGAAAATCAATGTACAGTACCTTATGTGCTGTAGTGTAGAGATGTTTCACACATGCACTAAATAAAGTCTATAAAACTAAAGGGATTCATTTAGTAATGAATTTTTCTTTGATTATTTTTAGGTGGAAATGAAATCCAGAGAGAATGTTCAGATCATGTAGGAAGAAATGGGAAGCTTTCTGAAGGAGACACATTCTGTTCAGGTGCAGGGAAGCTTCCATGTAAAATGATTGTTCATGCTTGTGGACCCACTTGGAAAGGTGGAATGAATCAAGAAAATGGTCGCCTGAAAAACTGTGTAGAGTCTGCACTAGAGGAAACAGAGGCAGGAAGTTACAGGTCTATTGCAATACCTGCATTGTGTACAGGTATATTTGGATATCCTGTGGATAAAGCCACATCTGTCATTGTGAAAGCTGTGAAATCCTATTTAAAAGATAAAAAAGAGACCAGCATCAAGGAGGTAATCTTGTGTGATGTTAAGACAGAGACTGTTAAATGTTTCACAGAGGCTTTGAAGCAAGAGTACAAAGGGAAAGTGACAGTCTTCAAAAATACAGCTGAAAGTGGGTCACCTAGAAGTTTACAGACAGAGGCACAGGGTAATTAACTTGACATAATTATCCTGCTACCTATTTCTGATATCAAGATCAGCTTGTTCATATTTACAAAAAAAAGGATATACTTTTTAAGACGTTTATGTGTTTATGGTTTGATTTTGTCAGGGCATACACCAGCACAAAATACAGAGTTTACAGCAGGACATATTTCAGTCAAATTGGTGAAAGGCCAAATAGCCAAGTCAAAGGTGAGTCTGCTCTTCATAACATGCTTTATAAAAATGATTTTTAAAAACAGTTTTAATTTTATCAATTTTGTTTTAAAAGTAAGCTGCATTCAGTTAAGAAACAAGAAAGATTTTTAATACCAGACTTGGATTCAAAGAAAGTTATATATTTTAATTATTTATTTATTATTATTTTTCATTTTGCATGACTTTGCGTGCAAAGTGGTAAATATCCATCTAAGATACATTGCTACCATCAAATGCCTATGCAAGCTTCTCTTTCATAGGCTGTATGCCAGCATATCATTCAAGCTCAAAGGTCTACTTAGGTAAATATATTCAAGCTAATAAGGAAAAGTAGGGTTATTTTGTTGGAGAATTAAGATATAATTAATTGATTAATCATTGCAGATGGATGTCATTGTCAATACGGCTTCAAAAGATTTAAGACTGAACTATGGAGCTGTCTCAGCCTCTATTTCCAAAGCAGGAGGGGACTCCATTCAACAAGAGTGTCTAAATAAATACCCTGATGGAATAAACCCGGGAGAGATTGCAGTAACAGGCGGAGGTAACCTGGCCTGTAAG